GACGGAGACATCTGTGGGGGAGGGTGGTTGGGCGGGAGGGCCATTTTCAGGGGTCCTTCAGGCGAACGATTATCGTGACGAAACAAGCATAAGCGAACATTGCAGGGACTTCAAACAATAACAATTACAAATAGTTTTCAAAAGCATTGACTCATTGAAGATCATGTGCGAGTGACAATCGTGGCAGCAATTTAGAAAGTACAACATTACAGGGCAACATAACAACAACACGAAACAATTGCACCATACATACACAACAATAAATGAAACATGAAGATTGAACTCAATCAAATAATGTGCGAATACAATGTGCAATCGGCTGAAACATCGATAACAAAGTAGAAGGAAAACAAAAACAAGGCAAGCGCGGCAGATGCTGCGCCCATGTCTGAATATAGAGTGCAATCCTCTGAAACATCGATGCAAAAATAAAATGAAAAAGAAACAACAATCTGCACCTACTGCACCTGTATATGGACAACTGTGCAGTAGTCTAACCATCTGTACAAATACAAATCTAATAAACATTACACGTATGAACACATCACGTCATCCGAAGCACTAAGTATAATATACACTACTAAGAAATACAGGATGAAAGAGGACTAATGGTGGGACTAAACATCATCGTCGTCCACAATGTCCTTCCTCCTCCTCTGCGGCACCGCACCTCTGACACCGTCGCCGCCACCTGTGCCGCCTACCGGCCCGTGCGCTGTATCCGGAGCATGAACCGCCCCCTGTGGCGCCGCGTCAACCCCGTGCTGTGCTCGAAGAAGGTCGTACACGGAAGCCCTCCTCCGCTGGCCACGAGGCATCTCCAAATCATCGGTACCAGACTCCAAAATGACTCTTGCCTGTAACGGTCGTTGTGCCGGCACCGTCCTCACATCCTCCCCCAATATACGTCCGACCATGCTCCTCCCGGGGGGGCCGCTGTGCTCTGCCTCCTCCCCCCTACCTGTTGTGCGCATCTCCGCCTCAGCAGGTGCTGTGATGGGCTGCTCCGTTGCCCGACTGGAGCCCCTCTTCCGCCAACCTACTGTCTCCGCGACAACGTCCAGGGCCAATGCCTCCCGAGTCCGCGGATATAAACCGGCCAGCCCGGGCTGAGTCTCCCGCATCGCATGCGTCACCCTCCTTACAGTACTGAGACTCTTACCTGCTCTCATCTTCTTCTTCCGTGATTTGGGAGAAGGAGACTCTGCAGGTGCCGGTGCGGTAATCCGTCCTGTGACTGGACCCTCAGCATGTACGGAGGTAGTGGCACCAGTGGTGGACGATGGCAGTGACGGGCTGCAGGGCACGTAAGCTGGGCCCTCTGTCGTGAACCTCCTCGACGCCTCGTCCATCCGTCCGCGCCGATCTGCCTGCAATGGGTCCTCTCATACCTGCCGCTCGAACTCCCCCGCCGTCATGGCTCCACCGATAGGCAATATACAAAAACCCTGAGCCGGTGACGCAGGTCTCTCGCCTGCATCCCCGGCGCCCGCGCCTCCACACTCAAGCACTGCATCGTCCGTCACATGATGACCCTCACCACCGCCCGTCTCGAGCATCCGCTCTGCCCGTTCCCTCGACGCAATACTCTGTGTCATCTCGCAATGGCTAGCCAAGTCGTGCGCCCTCTCCCTCTCCTCGCGGTCGATCCTGTTCTGCTCCGACTCTGGCGCTCGCTCCTGCTCATGTCGACAATCCCCACCGTCCCCTGCTGCACACTCCTCCTGCCCCGACGAACCCTGTGTCCCCGCTGCTGCCTCCTGCAACATGCTGCTACTGATGTCACCCATGCTGCATGAAGGTACATTTTGGAGTATCTGACTGACGGGCGTAGCCCCTGCGTCACCACTGCCATGCTCGCCTGCCGGTGTCAGAGGAAGCCCCAACAAAACATCAAGAATACCACTGAAACTGACACCCAACTGCGCAGAAGCCCTCCCAACCTGCGCAGCCTCGCCAGCAACCTCTGCAAAGCCCCCTGCGACCTCCTCAGACGCCGCTGCGAACTCTCCAGCGGAGGGAGCGGCCTCTGCAGTGGCCTCTGCCTACGCAACAGCAAACCTTGCCGAACCGGCGCCAACCTCTCCTGTCGCGGCACCCTCATCAAACCAGTGCATAGTGTGAGTGGAGGATGCAGACTCTCGCCTCGCCCGTCCTCCACCACCACGGCCTGCTCCCCCCACACCCCTGCCTGCACCATTGTCTCCCCTGCCCGCACCACTGCATCGGTCGGCACGATGTCGATCCGACCTCCGCAAACCACCTGCAGCCTGTGTACCATCGTCGCCCTCGTCGTCGTCACCACGTCCGCATCTCGGGGAATAGGCGGGATCATCCTCGTCCTCACTGCTGCCCTCGTACCCCTCTCTATCATCGTCGTCGTCGTCGTCTCGATTGTCAACAATCTCGCGAGTCCCCTTCTCGCCATGTCCCGGACGATCTGTAGGTAGAGGGGGATGCCGCGCAGCGGCTCCAGTGGGAGCACGACCACTCGAAGGCGGAGATGGAGGTGGAGGGGGATGTTGTGCAGCGGCTGCAGTGGAAGCACGCACACTCGGTGGCAGAGGTGGAGGGGGAGGAGGATGCTGCGCAGTGGATGCACTGGAAGGACGTGCACTCGGGGGCGGAGGTGGAGGGGGAGGAGGATGCTGCGCAGCGGATGTCGTGGAAGCACGTGTCCGAGGACGCAACATCTCTGCGAGAGAAACATCGTCGCCACCATCATCAGAATCTCCGGGCTCAGACTCCAGTGCCAGGTCGTCTGGATCGGACCACGGCTCCGCCTCCATCAGGTCCTGAGCCATAGGATGCGACTCGGGATCGTACACGGCGTCCAACTCAGTCAGCATGAGCACCGTGGCGCGGCGACCGAAATATGTCTCGACGATGGGCGGAGCCTTGGAAAGTCGATCCTTTCGCCCGCGCTGCACCTGCCGCTTGAGCTGCGCCTCCGTGACTCGGTGAGCTGGCCGAACACCCTCGTCACGAGGTGGAGGAATGTTGTCCTCTGTCTCCTCCTCAACGTCCTCCCATGGCAGAACGTACCCTGAACCCCTCCCTTGACAACGACTCAATCTCAAGTTGGTGGAAACGAGCCAGCTTGATAAAACCAAGCTGGTTACGCTTCTTCACCTGAACACGCTCATGGACGGCCCCGTTCCTTTCCGCTGGAGAGGCGCACGTCCATATGTGTGTCAGGCAAAAGGCATAAGTCTGAAGGAGAGGGACCCCGTCCCCTTGCTGAACCCACCACTGCCCCACCTGCGACGTCTCCTTCTCCCCTCTGCAGGAGGCCGCGCGTCCCTGTCACCCTCAACCCCTCAGTACGTCCAATCGCCCTCCCGGCTAAGAAACTCAGCCAACTGCGTGCGCAGCGTCTGATACAAGTCCTCATCTTCGCTAGTCTGCTGGCGAAGGTATCACAGCGACTCCTCCGCGAGGGTCTTATCGTGCGCGGTGCGCCTCGCCGCTCCAAAATACGTGACGCTCCTGTGGCGAGGGTTGAGGAGGTGGGCGATGCAATGTGCGCGCTCCAACATATGACCGGCCCGCGCCTGACAAGCCTGAACAACGATGTTGAGCTCCTCCCTCGACGTCCTGTTCAGTCTCACCCTCGCCACCCTGTCGACCATGGCAAGTGCCCACGACCACATGCGACTCATCACACGCCCCCCTCTGTCCAAATGGCGTAACAGCTGCATCACAGGCGTCATGAGCTCCACGATGTCCTCCACGTGCTCCCAAAATGGCGCGTACCGCAACTGATGACACACCCACGTGGCCTGCAAGAAAATGGACCTCCTCCATGCAGTCCGCAACCAGTTGTCGCTCATCATCAACGCCTCCAACGCTCGGCGATGATCCAACAACCTCTCCAACATCAAGTAGTGGGTAGCAAACCTCGTCTGTGCGGGGTACACAAGCTCTCTGCCTCGCCGCTGAGAAGAGGGTGGCGCAGCGCTGGAACTGGCCGCAACTGCGGAGGCGGAAGAGGGGTGGGCGGCAGATAACCATCGGTAAAGGCTTTGATCCGCCTTGTGCTCTCTGATGATCCGCACGACTGCTCGAGCCCTGATGATGGTGTCCTCGCTCTTCCCAAGCTTCCCGGGGGTGCCGTCCTTCGTAATGTCTGATAGCAACAAGTTGCAGACATGGACCGCACACGGAAAAGCCAAGTAATGCGGCTGTACTTGACCTTCTCCTTCGCCAGGAGCTTGGATGCAGCCACATACGCGGACGCAGAATCCGTGCAAATGGCGTTGACGTTTTCGACACCGAAGCTGTCGAACACGTCCTTCCATCGCTCCACCACCACCTCGGCTGTCTCCTGGACAACACCGTCGCGCTGCACAGCCCTGAAAAGATAAGCTTCTGTGGGCCCAGCAGCAAGGAAGTTGACGATCTGGTCACTAGTGATAGACTTCCGACCATCCGTGAGGATGGTCGTTCCCGTCGCCGCAATGTTCTTGCGGACGGCCGCCACCATCTCCGCCATAACTCGCTGCTGCTCTGGGATACGGTCGCCGAAAATGAGACGGTGCGTGGGCAACGCAGGATGTGTATACGGCGGACACTCGAGCAACCGCTTCCTCACTCGCTGGTACTCCGCCCTCCTCGCCGCCTCGAATGGAATCCCGCTCACGTACCACCACTGCAGGAACTCGTTCGAAAACTCTCGTTGCCACACCGGATCGAAGGTCTCTATCATGGAAGTCTGTCGAAGGACTTTGCCCTTCTTCAGCAGAGGAGGAGCTGGTGTCGTTGCCTTCCTCTTTCTGTTCTTCGACTGCACGGCGTCCTTCATCACTTTGGCACCCCCCTCTTGGCCTCGACGACCAGCGGCCATCAGACCCCCATCAAGAGACGTCCCAAGGTATGCACCCTGATCGTCCTCGTCATCGTCGTCATCGTCGTGCTCGTCCGGGGTGCTGTCCTCGGCAACGGCCTTGTCCCCCCTCATCTTTCCCCTGGCGCGCTCCGCCTCTCGCCGCACGTCCATG